TTAAATATAAACTTGTGATCTATATGAGTTATTTACAGAAATAATAATTAAACAATACATGTTCAAATCCGAAAAAAAAGTAAAAACTTGAATTCTTGTACTCTTAGAGGTCGTTTGGTAGCTGGTTAGAAGAAAGGTTATTCATGTATAAGGGGTAACATAACTTATACCATGTTTGGTAGGCAATAGTTATTTTGTATAAAATTCTGCATAACTAATACCATGTTTGGTTGACATTTTTCAATTATGCATAAATAATACATGTATAAGTTATGAGTCAATCTGTGTATTATTTTATGCGGAGTAGAAGATGGAATAACTAATACATGTATTAATAATACATGGATAAAATATTGAAATAACAAATTTACCCCTATCACTTTACACATAAGGCTTCCTTATTTCTCTGCCAACCCGTCAACAGGTTTCACTTGCTTTCACTTGCCAACTATATACCTTGTCTTCTCTCATTTTTAAAGAACAAACTAGCAAAAGCAAACTGGAGAAGCCACTAGAAAATGGAAATACCAAAACTAAGAAGTGAAAATCAAATATGTCTAAACTTCACATAGTTCAGTAGTATGACGAAGAAGTGAAAGTAACACCCAAAGTTCCTAACTAAATTGTTTCCTGCATAAATGGAAAGAGAGAAAAAACAATGCAAAAGAAGGCCAGGTGTATAGTTGTAAACAAGCATTTCACTTTAAAATTTATATAATGTATATCAATTTCTAATACAACAAACCAAACATTCAAAAAAATAATCTCTGCATAACTAATACCTGCATAACTAATCCCTGCATTACTTATCCCTGCATAACTAATCCCTGCATAAGTAATACATGTATAACTAATACCTGCATAACTCTAACCGGCAACCAAACGACCCCTTAATTATTTAGGAGGCGAAGAGAGTAATAGTTGTGTAATTTCAAATTTGTGGGGCTTTCATTAAATTAAAAAAATGAGTAGACTAGTAGTGCATTGGAATTGTGGGTCAGGTATGCTCCACTCTTTTCAAGTCAAATCAAGAAGATCTTTTGTGGGTGTTTTGTCCGAATCAAAGCAAACTCATGACTAAGAAGAATTATATGATCTATACCATTGGAGAGTTTGGAACAATGATAAAATTATCTTATTCTGCTTATAAGTCATAAATTCGAACCGTGAAAATAACTATTAATGCTTGTATTAGTAGAAACTCTTTACATCACACGTCTTGGGTGCGACCCTTCGCCGTACCCTGTGTAAATATGGGATATTTTGTGCATTGCCGCCCTTTTTTATACCATATAGGACCGAAAGCAATTTTTTAGAGTGCATGGGAAACTAAGGACCGTTTGTCCATAATTTTTTTTTTTTGAAATTTTATTTATAAAAAATGTGTTTGTCCATGAAATGTTGTAAGTTTTTGGAAATTTTTCGAAAAAAACTTGCACTCACAAAACTGCAATATTTTTTCAAGTAAAATGCATGTCCAAATATAATTTCAAATTTCACATATCATTTTTCATTTTAACTCAATACAATTTTTTTTTTCAAAAATTATAATTCTATGTCCAAGTGCCTACTAAGGTATGTCGATCTTACTCACTTTTTAATAAGATTAATATAATTTTACATTTGAAAATTTATAAAATAAATTTGATTTAATAATTCGTCAAACAAATGATTAGTGTTTGTCTGGGTGCATCCAATTCGATTTAAATAAAATAGAGTCAATCTTAGCTAATATTAATATCTGAAAGACAAGGTTATCGATTTTATGGCAAATAGTATGTATATCTGATCGAATGATAATAAATGTGAGCAATGATAATAGTATTCAATGATCCAAAAAGGTGGAAGATAGCATTAAATAATAATAAGTAGCAATAAATGACAGTCAAGTAAATAAAAACGTGTGAGTCACTCGAAAAGGGGTGGTATCTGTGGATATTCTTTCTGACAATGATGAATGATTGACGAGTCTTTGAACACTAAGGTTGTTCTTGGATCAAGTGGAAAGGTTAGAGAAGAATCTTAGTAAAAAGGTTATTTTCGTATGCTTGCAATATGGCCATATTCTCTATATAAAGTCAATGTGTTTTCTTACAAGTGAATATCTCATGTTCCCTATCATTGTGTCTCTTTCCATTTATAGGGAACAGATTCCTAAAAACCCTAATAGTACAGGAGCAGAGAATATCTACTAGAATATTCTCTTTTATGTCCTATCCTAAAACCAGACATTATATATCTGTCTAAGATGCTCGACCTCGACCTTGATCTACGACGACTTCTCGACCTTGATCATCGCTGACTTTTCGACCACACCCTTCATCGCTTTACGGACCACTTCAACCTTGGGCGGGTCTTTATTGAAATCGTACTGATGATACATGGCAATCTGTGAGTGCCTCCTTAATGTTAACATGGTGTGATCATATTAGCGATAATTTTTTACACATACAATAAGAAATTATAATATGTACGTCGTTTCATTTCCAGTTAGAATTTGTGAGCCGCCAAAACTGTTACACATTATGAATGTATGATTTATCAGAGATCAATAAATGAAGGGTAACAAATGAGGATTAAATGAGATTTTACAGAAATTAATGAACTGCTAGTCACTTCAATAATGATTATATATACGTACGCCCACAATAAGTGAGGTTAACAACTTCTTCCCTATGGTAATTATGCTCCTTTATTGCACTTCTGCTATCAGAATAATTTTCCTCTTAATAGGGAAAATTTTATTTTGTGTCTCATACAACTCACACTAGTTGTATGAGGCAACTTTTTGAGAGTGGTTTTAATGAATGCATAATGCCTATTTCTTTTTTTTTTTTTTTTTTGCTTTAGTCATTTCGTATTCTCTCGAACCAAGGGTCTTTCAAAAATAACTTCTCTACCTCCCTCTGATCAGGGGTAAAATTTGCGTACACATTAGCCTCCCCAAAACTAACTTGTGGAACTCCACTAAATTTATTATTGTTGTTGCAGTCATTTTGTATCTAAAATATACTTATCCGATTAATTTGAATTCACGTCACATAGGACTACTTAACAAATAAATGCATCTTATTACCGGATTCTTTTTCTAGGATCAAGAAGTCCAGCGATAGTCTCGTTTACAATAATAACAAACTCAATGTAATTCTACAAGTGGAGTCTGGGAAGGGTAGTTTGTACGCATACCTTATCCTGACCTTGTGAATGTGGAGAGGCTATTTTCAATATACCATGAGCTCAAGAAAATATAGTCACAGCCAGAGGCGTATCTTGAATTTCTAAAACATGGGTACACCACTAAAAATAGGAGAAAAAAGTATTAATCCGGAATTGATCTGTGTTTCTTTAGGTAAATAACCTAGTATTCAACCAAATGCACTATTAAGTCTTTTTGGAACATAGGTGTCAACAGATAATATCAGACTAATTCTAGAAAATACATACATAAAATACCTAGTTTGACGGAGAGACCATTAGTTCATGTGCCCAATAAACTACCCTATAAATCCGTCCATAGTCACAACAGTGTTGAAAAAGAAATACAGTAGTGGAGAAGTGATGCAAAAGAAGCAGTAAGAACAACAAGATAATAAGATAACCGAAGCAAAAGAAACACATATCTAGCCGAGGGTCTATCGGAAACAGCCTCTCAGCCCTTCCGGGGGTTGGGGTAAGGCTGCGTACATCTTACCCTTCCTAGACCCCACTTATAAAAAATTGCTAGTTTTGTTATTGTTGTTGAAGCAAAAGAAACACATGTTGTAATAGAAATCTATGGAATAAAAAATACAAGAATAATACTAAATCTACTGATATGGAAAAGAGATACAATCGACTATCTATTAACCATCTACCATAATATATTAAACAACAGTCTCATTTGACTATGTAAAACAAGCAATAAGATCAATCATCAATAAAAATGTGCTTGAAAATTAAACTCACCCCATATTCTCTTGTACTTTCATTGCCAACTCAAATAATTGCTAATCAATATTTAGAAGCAGTGCAGTTAACTCGGTGAAAGCGGTGATTTTTTCAATTAGAAATAGCAATAGGAGGCATTTAACTTAGGTACACTGACAAACTGTTTATTGTCACAGCTTTTTAGGTACTTCTAAATAATGAATAGCTATGCAACGGAAGTAGATGTCTCCAGTTAAGGACACTGTAATTTGTAGCCCTTCTGTCAAATATAGGTATAGAGATAGAGTTACGATTCTCTCAAAAGTGAAAATTTTTATTTTGTGTCTCATACAATTGATACTAGTTGTATGAGGCAACTTTTTTATCTCACAATTTTGTGGACCCAGATTTCTGTGGATCCAGAAGTGTAAGATTGGGGTCCACAAATTTGTGAGACAAAAAGGAGCCTCATACAACCAGTGTCAGTTGTATGAGACACAACATAAAACTTCTCCTCAAAAGTAGAGATAAATCATCGAGAAGTTTTATTGTGTATCTCACACAACTACAACTGACATTAGTTGTCTGAGACTCCTTTTTGTCTCACAAATTTATGGACCCCAATCTTGCACTTTTTAGTCCACAAAAATCTGGGTCCACAAAACTGTGAGACAAAAAAGATGCCTCATACAACTAGTTGACAGCAGGGGCGGACCTACGCTAGGGGGTGGGGAGTCACGGGCACCCGTTGGCCTCGGTAAAAATATTGTATATATATTATATATATATAAGTTAATACTGGGAGGACCCTATAAATATATTATGCGGCACCCTCAGTCACAAAGATTGGATAGAAGAGTTGGTTTGTGGGAGTAGCTGCCTTCTTCAAGACCCACGTTCGAAACTCAGGTCCAACAATTAAAATTTCTTTTTTGATTGGGTCTCATTCGGCTAGACCTTTAATTGAATCTTAATTCCATTCAAAGGTTAAAAATACACGCCTACTCCCTTTTCTAGGGCTTTTGGAATGGCTTGGAAATAGGCTTCCAGATGTATATAGAGTTATATTAAAACATTCTCCAAAAAATGATACGATGAGTTCGCCAAAAATTCAAAAGGATATTGTGAGTGCTTGTGCACAAGAGATCATGAAAGCTATAATTGATGACTTGGATGGAGATTATTTTGGGATATTAGTTGATGAGTCCAAGGATATTTCACACCATGAACAAATGGCCCTTGCTTTGCGGTATGTTGACAAAAAAGGCCAAGTGACACTCGTTGGGGATCACATTGTAAAACATTGGATAACTTTATTATTTTATTTTCTTCTATTGTTCATGTGCTTGGGGTGATTGAATGTGAAGGTGATGTTAATGATAGGTTGCAAGCAGAAGCTTTTTCGAGTAAAATTAAAGCATTTGAATTTGTTTTCTTGCTTCACTTAATGTTGAAAGTGTTGATAATGTCAAACGAGTTTGGCAAAGCATTACAAAAGAAAGATCAAGATAATGTCAATGCCATGGTATTTCTTGATATCACAAAGGAAAGGTTGCAAGAAATGAGAGATAAAGGATGGGAACCATTGATGGATGAAGTATATTTATTTTGTACAAAACATGATATTTTGGTGCCCAAGATGGAAGAATTCTATATTCCTGGAAAGTCGAAGCGTAGGCCTTCTAGTGTTACTTATTCACATCACTTACGTGTTGAGCTTTTTTATGCCGTGATTGATTTGCAACTTCTGGAGCTTAATAGTCGTTTTGATATTGTGAGTAGTAACCTGCTTCTTGGTATGGCTATCTTGAATCCTGCTAACTTATTTGCTAATTTTGATAAGGAAAGAATAATGACATTGGCCAAGCATTATCCCGATGAGTTTGGTGAATTGAAGCTTCGAGATCTTAGTCGCCAACTTGACACTTTCATATGGCATATGCAACATGGTGACCCTAGGTTCTCTGATTTGAAAGGAATTGGTGATTTGGCGAAAGCATTGGTTGAGACAAATATTGTGGAGACTTATTCACTTGTTTATTTACTTGTGAAGTTGACTTTAATTTACCTGTCACAACTGCAACGGTGGAAAGAGCATTCTCAACTATGAAGTACATCAAAGATGAATTGCGTAGTAGTATTAGTGATGCATTTTTAAATGATTGTTTAGTTTGTTACTTTGAGAAGGAAGTGTTTGTAAATATAAGCAATGATGCTATTATTGACCGTTTTCAAAATATGAAAACGCGTCGAGTTCAACTATGAGTGGACAATATACTTTTGTTATATTAGTATCAAGTTAATGGTATTTGATAATATTGATGTTTTTATTTTGATGATAAATTATCATAGTCATTTCAAAGAGTTACACCCGAACTTTATTGTTGGTGATTGACATACTAAAAATAATGGTGCCCCCGTAAGGCTTAAATCCTGGGTCCGCCTCTAGTTGTCAGGTCCGGCGGAATCAATCTAAAGCATATTTGGTTTGTGACAGAAGAAGGCCAGAGGAGTCACGCTGAGCAGTTCTACGAGACACAAAACAAAATTTTCCTACATCTACTGTTTCCTCACGGATTATATAGCACAACTAGGGGAGAAAGTTAAACGATTTTAAAAGTATATTGTTATCCTTATTTTTCTACACATAAACATATACCACAAAGTGAATATTCTTTCCTCCAACCACTTTTATGAGACACTTTTCTTTTTAATTAATCCAAAAAGTGATACCTTCTTGCTTTTGAAAATTACTTCAATTTTTAATATTTTTATTTTGTTCTTACTTATCCAACCATTGTAATAAACAACCCCTAAATTCTATAAATTTAACTAGCCCGACTTTTGCATCTATACTTGATTTTAGGGTCACAATTGAAGCTATACGCACTTTGTAAACAAATTTGCAAGTCTACCCACTTTACGATCAACTTCAAAATTATCGGGACTGAAATTTAAAAAAAAAGTCTGAAATGCAATACACTTAAGGCCAATTAAGTTTAAAGTGCCAAAATTGCGCTTAAGAAGCACTTAAGGCCAAATAGGTTTGAAGTGCAATAAATATTTTCATGCACTTGGTCAGAGAGATGAGTGTCTATAGTATATATTAGAGTTATCCAGGACATGTATGATGGAGTTAAGACACGGGTTAGGACAGCAGGTGGAGACTCGGATTACTTTCCGATTGAGATGGGGTTGCATCATGGATCAGCACTTAGCTCGTTTTTGTTTTCCCTGGCGATAGATTCTTTGACACGTCACATTCAGGGGGAGGTGCCTTGGTTCTTGTTATTTGTGGATGACATAGTACTGATTGATGAGACGCGATGTGGCATTAACGAGAGGCTGGATGTCTGGAGACATACCCTAGAGTCTAAGGGTTTCAAGTTGAGCAAGACCAAGACAGAATACTTGGAGTGCAAGTTCGGCGGTGTTACCCTAGAGGCGGACGGGGATGTGAAACTCGATACGCAAGTCATTTCCAGGAGAGAGAGAGTTTCAAGTATCTGGGATCTATAATTCAGAAGGATGGGGAGATAGATGAGGATGTCACACACCGTATCGGAGCAGGGTGGATGAAGTGGAGGCTCGCTTCCGGTGTCTTGTGTGATAAGAAGGGGCCGTTGAGACTTAAGGGTAAGTTCTACAAGGTAGTTGTTAGACCGACTGTGTTGTATGGGGCAGAGTGTTGGCCAGTCAAAACCTCTCATGTCCAGCAGATGAGGGTAGCGTAAATGAGGATGTTGAGATGGATGTGTGGGCATACTAGGTTGGATAGAATTAGGAATGAAGTTATTCGTGACAAGGTGGGAGTGGCCCCTGTGGAGGCAAAGATGCGTGAGGCAAGGTTGAGATGGTTCGGGCATGTTAAGAGGAGAAGAGCGGATGCCCCTGTCAGGAGATGTGAGAGGTTGGCCTTAGGAGGGGTGAGGAGGGGTAGAGGTAGGCCAAAGAAGTCTTGGGGAGAGGTGATCAGGCGGGACATGGCGCTACTTGAACTAACCGAGGACATGACTCTAAATAGAAGGGTGTGGAGGTTGAAGATTAGGGTAGAAGGTTAGTAGGTAGTCGTGCATCTCCCTTTGTCTTCTCTAGCTCGATAGTATTAGCGCTAGTTTGGTACCCTTTTTTTCCTTAGTTTTCTACATTCGTATGTCTCGTTTCGTTGTTACTTGCCATTAGTAATTCCGTAGTTTGCTAGCAGTACTTCGTTCATATTCTCGTCTGCTACCTTGGAATTAGTTTTCTAAATATGTTATGTTGCTGCTACTTGTTATCAATACCCCTTTCATATTATCTGTTGCTATCTCCGATTTAGTTTTCTAATTATTGTTTTGCTATTACTTGCTACCAGGGATTCTTTAGCCGAGGGTCTATCGGAAACAGTCTCTCTGCCTTTTCAGGGTTGGGGTAAGGCTGCGTACATCCTACCCTCCCTAGACCCCACTTGTGGGACCACACTGGGTTGTTGTTGTTGTTGTTGTTGTTGTTTTACTTGGTCAGAGAGGCCTAAAGTGAAAAAATTACACTTCAGATGCACTTAAGTCCAAATAGGTTTGAAGTGTAACCAATGATTTCATGCACTTAAGACCAAAATGTCTGAAGTGGAAAAATTGCACTTTAGATGCACTTAAGGCAAAATAGGTCTGAAGTGCAACCAATAATTTCATGCACTTAAGGCCAAAAAGTCTGAAGTGGAAAAATTACACTTCAGATGCACTTAAGCCCAAATAGATCTGAAGTGCAACAAATAATTTCATGCACTTAAGGACAAGAAGTCTGACGTGAAAAAATTACACTTCAGATGCACTTAAGGCCAAATAGGTCTGAAGTGCAACCAACATTTTCATACACTTAAGGCCAAATAGGTCTGAAGTGTTAATTGCCCAGAAACAGAAATTTGTTCTTCGAATTTTAACAATCCAATATACGATTTAACACCTGAATCTACTTCAAATGAGCTCAAATTTGAAACATAACCTCCAAATATTATCAAGAACAAACCACAATCATCAATTTGTCAAAACAATAATAAATCTAACGAACTCATTTTGCAAATAAGAAAGAGAAGAAGAAGAAGAAATCCCCTAAGCCATGGTAAAAAAAATAAAGCGCCACAGCAGTTTACCACTGTAAAATATCATAAACTACCTTAAAATATGTTTACAAATACCATATAAAATCACTGTCACCCGAAGAAGAAGAAGAAGAAGGAGAAGGAGGAGAAAAAGGACTGAAGTTGTTTAAACTTTGGGTATTAGTTATAAAAATTTAAAAAGTGGGTGTTAAATAGGGATCATAATTGAAGTTATACCCACTTTGCGAAAAATATTGCAAGCTTACCCACTTTACGATCAACTTTAGACTTATCGGGTCTGAAGTTAAAAAAAAATCAATCTAAAGTGCTTAAGGCCAATTAAGTCTAAAGTGCAAAAATTACACATAAGATGCACTTAAAGCCAAATAGGTCTGAAGTGAAATAAATATTTTCATGCACTTAGACCATCTCCAATGGTACTCTATTTCTTCCACCAAATCCAAATTTGGTGCAAGAAATGGTATTTTTTTTTTTTTGCTCCAATGCAACACTATTTCTTGCACTATTATAGAGCATGAATAGTGTTGCACCAAATTTGGTGCAACACTATTCATCACTCTATATTTGGTTTATTAATATTTTATTCAATCTTTTTATTATTTTTGTAATTTTAATTTATCATATATTGGGTATATAATTAATTTTTATATTAAGATCTTTATAATTTTAATTTTATATCCTATTTTTTGATATATTAATTTTTGTATATATTGTATTTATATAAAATTATAAGTTAATTTTATTATTATTATAATTGTATAAAAGAAATATAACCATTATTTAAAAATAAAAAATACAAATGTAAGATATCTAATATTGCTAAAATTGAAAAGTGAAAACTAAAATTTAAAAAAGAAAATTAACAATACATAAAATAAAAATACATTATAATTAAAGTACATAAAAGGAGGATACATTAAAATTGAAATTACATTAACAACAATAAAACATAAGTTTAGTAATCCCCTATGTCATTTCCAGGTGCACCAAATTACCAAAATACTGAGAGAACGGGGTAGAAGATTGTTGTGGTTTGTGGTTGTTGAAATTGTTGACTTCTTTTATCGATTATTCGTTTTTGTTCTTGTCGCAAAAATTCACGAAGATTTGGATCGTCAATGGAATTCAAGTTCGTCAATAAAATTAAATTTGACTATGATGTAATATTTATTTAATTTATATATTTTATCAATAATTTCACTTTTAGTTAATTTATCCTTTAAAATAATTTTGTAATAAATGATTATATAAGTGGTGAATGTGAATTATATATAATGAATATGAAAAAAAGAAAAAAGATAGTATTAGTTTGAAGGGAAAAAAAAATGAAAAGTAAATAGAAGATAATAATATAATATAGAAGAGAGAGAAGATTTGGTGTAAAAAATGGTGTAATGGTTGGAGTAAATTTGGTGTTACACCATTTTGGTGTGAAATTTGGTGCAAAAAATGGTGCTAGCATTGGAGATGCCCTTAAGGTCAGAGAAGGCTGAAGTGAAAAAAGATGCACTTCAGATGCACTTAAGGCCAAATATGTCTGAAGTGCAACCAATGGTTTCATGTACTTAAGGCCAAAAAGTATGAAGTGCAAATTGCCTAGAAACATAAATTTGTTCGAATTTTAACAATCAAGTATACGATTTAACACCCAAATCTACTCCAAATGAGCTCAAATTTGAAACATAACCTCCAAATATCATCAGGAACAAACTCCAATCATCAATTTGTCAAAACAACAATAAATCTAACAAACCCATATAGCAATTAAGAAAGAAAAAAAAAGAAGAAACCTTAAGCAATAATAAAAAAATAATGCGTCACAGCAGCTCACAACTGTAAATATATAGACTACCTTAAAATATGTTTACAGACACTATATAAAATCACTGTTACCCAAAGAAAAAGAATAAGAAGAAAAAAGAGGAGAAAAATACCTGAAGTTGTTTAAACTTTGGATACTACTTAAAAAAAAATTTAATAGTAAAATAGGACGACATGTGCAATTTTTACGA